CGCTTTCCGGTCGTATTAATCGACCGTGGCATCAGAAAAAAATGCCGAATATTATCGTGCAAAATATTCTGGAGGTTGTATTAAAGCCTTGGGCACGCAAACATTTTAACCGCAGACCTTGGACATTCCAATAGTACTCAGCACCATCGCACTCAGCACACGCCACCCAAGAATGGTTACAAAGTGAGGTTTCTCGCTTCATATCCAGCGCACAATGGCCACCAAAATCTTCGGATACCAATCCGTTTTTTGGTGTCTGCAGTATTTTGGAAAGCAAGGTTGACGCTAAAAAATACCAAAGTGTCGATCACCTCAAGAAGCGCTTCGCCGGGAATGGGCCAAAATATCACAGAGCAACATTCGGGCAACGTTTAATTGGCCGTTTAAAGGCAATTCGAATCAATCTAAACTTATTCTAAAATATGATGCTATTTCCGACATTTTTTGCTTCCATTCAATAAAATTAAAAAAAAATATATAAAAATTATGGCTTTTGACCTTGTTGCAGTTTTTTTTTATCTCACCCTGTATATTCAAATTCATGTTTTTACCAATGAACTCTTTTTGTATAATTTAAAATTTTTTTACCAATGAACTCTTTTTGTATAATTTAAAATAATTAATATTTTCCTGTTGGTAAATAAATGTTCCTGTAACTTTATTTTGATATTTTTGAGCAAGTAGCCTTGTAATAGTGTAGGGTGGCAAGTAAATGCAGTTGTTGTTGTTTTGCTGTTGAAGTTACATAAATAAATAATAAATAACATTGAAAGCACATTTAAAGCAAATACCGGATTTCAATTTATTCAACATTTACAATTTACTAAGCAGACAAAAGATCGAAGAAAGTAAAAAGACAAGACAAAAAAAGAAGTAGATGAAAGAAATAATACAATTAGAAGAACGATGCAATTTAGAAATGCTAAAATCGAAGCAGTTGAAGCGGTGTTTTTTGTTTTATGCATTCGGCCTTCATCTAATGGCAGAAGTTTAAGCAAGCAAATGAATTGTAAGACTGAGGGCACACATTAGACCGTATCGATTTATTTTGCTGATTTTGTACAAAATCATATTTTATATTTATATTTTATACTAATGTTATTAGTTAGAACATCTCAATAAATACATGATATTCCCTATAGTCTACCACAGCCTAAAATGTTTTGGTTCATTTGACCCCATAAATATAGGCTTCAATTCTAACCATACACGATTGTGACGATCGGACGATAATTGCGACCTGCTTATTATACTCCCAAAACATTGTGTTGTAAGGTGTAAAAAAATATTAAAACATGTACAATTCAACATTGTAAGTCAAATTAAAAAAACCCCATGCGATAAAAAATTTTCCAAACATTACAAAAAAAAAAAAAAAAAAAAAAAAAAATCCAAATTTTTGTAGTCATCTTTTTACGCAATTTTTTAATTTTCTCAGAATTAACGACGGTCTAAATAACCTACATAGGGGGGCAAGTTAAAATATTCCAAAAAATTATTTGTCATACATTTCTGCTATTGGTACTAGAAATTAATCTTTACTAATAAAGCGCGTATCAATTGCAAATCATCATCAATTGCAATAGGGTTCTTCTTTGGCCCAATCAAATGATTTGTGGGAATTTTTATCTCAATCGAAAAAAAAACAGCCAAGTTCGGCCAAGCAGAACTTTTAATACCCTCCACCATTTTGAAGGAAATGGAAAATTTTCAAAAAAAAAAAAAAAAAAAAAAAAAAAAAAAAAAAAAAAATGCGACGAAAAATACCACTTTGGGGACTAAACGATGACGTGGACCTACATAAGTAATTTTTTGTCATGGACTGTAGTACCTATTCCGAACTTCAAATACGAAATTTGAAACAATTCCGTTGAATATATCACTAATATCATCAAATTTGAAACAATTTCGGTCAATAATATCATTAAAACACCGAATATCGGAGGGTACCATTATGTGAGTGATATACGATATCGGGGACCTACAGACAATTTACTTAATTTTGTTATGTATTTAACTAGTGTTATTTGTCTAATCTTGTTTAGAGATTCGAACTCCCCTGAAGAAGTCGTCAAAAAGAGACGAAAAGTCGTACCAAAGACCCATTTGGCGTATGATTTTTATTGAAATAGCTTTTATTGCTTATACGACACAAAGAACATCAATTGAATATCCATTTTACGCAGGGCCAGGTAAACCGAATATGATAATAAACTATTCCAATTAATTGACATTAATGGAATATGTTTAGTAAGAAACAGACCTTTCAAGAACTACAAGGACACACCTTTCAAGAACCCCAAGTCAAGATTCAGCTGATTTGGTTGGTGTGGAATTAACGTTATATGAGGGCTATACCATTTCCAATACCAATCAGCCTGTATATAATATCAACCTTTGTGTTCAAAGCTGTAGATTAAATAATAGGGGCTCTATTTTAATTTCAACAGACAGACAGACGGACGGATTGACAGACAGACCGACATCGCTAAGCCGCCTTATAATTTTATTCGGAACAGGAATGCATATATACATTTGGGGTCTCCGACGAATATTTCGAGGTATTAGCAAACGGAATGACAAATTTAATATACTCTCCATTGTATAGCGGAGGGAATTAAAAATTGGGAGAACAACTTTCTTCCGGGCACTGCAGTATTGCACTTTTCTGTTCTCCCAATAGTTTGTGTGTGTTTGTGTAGATAGAATAACGCTGACATTTGCATCATTCTACATAAAGATGGATATTCGGAAAGTAAAAATCTTTTAAAAACGGATTCGTTATAGGTTAAATTCTGATTTATGGGATAATGAATTTTTCGCAATTGTAACCCATTTATGTCATGGGTCAAATCATATGAGACTGATTTTAACCTCAGCTTTATGGCCACAAATTGCTTATATTTTTAAGGTGCAGTCAAAATGCTCCATATCGACGGACAAAACGTGCTCTTTCGAAATAACAAAACGAAATGGACAATATTAGTCCACACTTCGTTCTCTATAAAAGCTTAACGTTTTGAACAATATAACATAAAATATATTTTAATAAACGGATATAGGCTGAGAGTACACATCCGTCGGCATACTCGACTGATACTTTTTACACCCTCAGCCATATGGCTACAGAGGGTATATATCGGTCGAAACGTGTTTAGTCGAAATTACGGTTTTAGGTCTCTTTGGACTAAAACCGTTTCAACACATTTGAAGTCGATCTAGCGATGTCCGTCGGTCCGTCCGTTCGTCTGTCTGTCTGGATGACTGGTGCACACGATAACTCTCGAAGGGAGTATCCGATTTGGTCCAAACTTGGTATATCGAAATGTTTTTGTCAAACTCAGATCGAGTTCGGAGATGGGCAATATCGGTCCACTCCTTCTGGTACCTCCCACACAAAAGGTCGAAATTTTCAAAAAATATATTTTTTGCACAGAAAGAGAAAGGATAAACAGATTTTGCTCCAACTTTGTAAATCCTAATATTTGCATCAATGCTAGGTTAGGTGTGAAAATGGTCAATATCGGTCCACGCTATCAAGTGCCTCCCCCACAAATGGTCAACATTTTGAATAATTACAGTTCTCATAAAATGTGATGAAATTTCGCACATCCCAATATTCATATTAACCCAAGGTCTGATGTTAAGATGGAATATATCGGTCCACTCCTTCTGTTACCTCCCCCACAAAGGGTCGAAATTTTCAAAAAATATATTTTTTGCACAGAAAGAGAAAGGATAATCCGATTCTGCTCCAACTTTACATATCCTAATATTTGTGTCAATGCTAGGTCAGGTGTAAAAATGGGCAATATCGATCCACGCTATCAAGTACCACCCCCACAAATAGTCAAAATTTTGAATAATTACAACTCTCATAAAATGTTATGTAAGAGTCCGATTGTCTTCAAATTGCACACATCCCAATATTTATATTCTGGTTAAGATGGAATATATCGGTCAACTCCTTCTGGTACCTACTGGTACCTCCCCCTCAAAGTCTCAAAACTTTTAATATCCATGAAGTTCATAAAAAGCGAAATTAACATTCGTTTCCATTTAAGACTTGGTACATCCCAAAATTTGCATTAACACAACACAGTCCAAGCCTAACACGTCGCAATATTTATATCATATTTATTTAAGTCCGATATGAAATGGCCAATATTGGCCCATTCCTTCGGAACCACTGCATAAGGGTTTAAACATTTGAATAATCATAACGGAAGTCAAACTATTTTAAAACAATCGAACATTGGCTGAGGGTATACATTTGTCGGCAAAACCGATCGATACTCTTTTACTTGTTATTTTGTTAAATTTGTCATATTGATTTCATAGCAGGAGAATAACTTTTATGTATGTATATATTTCTTTTGGGAAATATGACAAAAAATTAGGATAACCTCGATCTCACCTTTTGCAATATTAAAAAATGTCAATAACTTTCGCTTAATGGCTTCGGTTATCCTATTTCTAGAGAAATCGGTTCGTGGCAGAGAGAGCTAAAGTGTGAGAAAATATACCGCTAGTCGAAGCACTCAGAACTTTAATAATTTTTTAATATTATTCACAAAGCTTTTATATATCTCAAAAAAATTAAAAACCAATTAAAACATAATCGATACGGTCTAATGTACGACGAGAGTAAGATTCAATTAGGAATGCATTATTTTAATGTTGTTGCTATTGTTGCAGTGATTGTGGTGGCTTTAGCTTAAGAAGCGTTAGTAAAATTGTGTGGCTGTTGTTATTGTTGTTTTTTCTATTGTTGTACTTGTACTTGTTGTTGTTATTATTGTTCTTGTTGCTGCATTTGATGTAGTGGTTATGTGTATGATTTCCAAACAACAACTTTGTATTCATTTCAAATTCTTGTTTTTTTATTGTTTTCTTCTGTGGGCATTGTTTCACCTCTTGTTGTTGTTGTTCGCTTGTTGTTTTTCTTTTCTTTTGTTTTTTTTTTTTCGTTTTAGGTTTTCTTTCTAATTCAAACTCACCATTTGCCCCACACTGACATCCGGCCGGGTTTCGTTGCTTTCGGTTACGGTACAACCATCGATTTCTGTGCCAGAAGCTTAACCTTTGTGCCATTGTCTTTGTTTTGTGACGCGTTTGCTTATCGTTTCGCTTGCTATTTTCCGCTTGGTGTTGAGCTTTCAAAGCAGCTCCACAATAGAGGCATTTGGTGCGTTCACCACCCCTGGTCATACTATTGACACTGAAGGTAAGACACTTGGTGACACTGCCATCACCACCAACGCCACCGCCACTACCACCACCACTGACACCATCGACACCGCCATTGTGGTGATGCTGTGTGGCCACATTGTGGTCAAGCATTTGTTCGACTTCCTCCTCGTCGACAAAAATGCAAATGCCACCGCGTCGTTTCAACGACGATTTACTTGAGAAATCAGGATCAAATTCTGGTATTTGAAATGCAATGGTTGGTTGTTGGATTGAGGGCGGGTGGGAATTTTTGCAATCCAGGTGGGCAAACGATTGTTGTCGGTCGACACAGACACACACACATATATACATATGTATTTTTGGGTTGATTTTTCAATATGATGGTAGTAGAAGTAGTAGTTGTTGTGGTTGTTGATAGGTAGTTGAAGGTATTTTTTTTGTACAATTTTTTTTGTTCAATTTTTAAATATATACAAAAGAAAGTTATAGGAATAATAATTTTAGTTAGGGTTTTATTTACAATTTTTATTTTTATTTTCATTTGTAGAGATAATTGATTATTGACTTGGGTGAAATTCTGAAATTGAAATGTATGTAATTGATAACGAAACGCTTCCATGCTGAAGGCATGCATTGTTTTTGTTTTTCAGAATGACTTTCGAAAGCAGAGAGAAGTTGTTGTTATTGTTGTTACTGAGAAATGAAATGACAGCTGAGTAGAAGAGAAGAGAGGAAAGTGAAGTCCTTACATAACTGGTCTTACCTACTTTGTCTTAATAGAGGCGCAAATGAGAGGTACACTTCCATTAACAATTAGGATCTCAGAATCTGAGGTGTTTAGGATATAAATATATCCATTAATTATAGAGAAGTTTTTTCACACGGTTTGCTGTTATGGCATATTAAATACGGTATAACCTTCAGCATGGATTCTGTAAAAGGAAGGCTGCTACTGGTTGGATATGGTTTTTTTCCATTTGTTTGCAAGTACATGATAATATTTGAAATGCTAGCATGGAATTGATGTACTACATTTAATATTCTGCGCAATTCTCAATAGCTTTATCTGGGCTGCAAGGCCATTTGTAATTAAAAACAAAATAGAAAAAATGTTTACGATTTCTCAAATGTTGTAGCAGAAGGATATAACTCATTTTTTAAATTGCTCTAATTCGTTTAAAAAATATGGTGGCTGAACTTTGTTCAAATCGGATCTCTAATCGAATAGTGTAGGGACTTGACCGAGATTTTCATATCATATTTCTATTGATAAGGCATTTTGAATTTTTTTGAGCAAATTTTTAATTCTCTTTGGATTGGAAACCTCTTTTCAATATATGTTAAGCATATGAGTCCACGTTCGGCAAAGTTGAATATCCTTTCGTTATTTTAAAAATACATTTATTGTAGTTGAGAAAGTAAAATGTTTGTGAGTAAAATAAACAAGTAAAAAGGCAGAAAGTTCGGCCGGGCCGAACTTTGAATACCCTCCACCATTTGGAAAGATTTAGGAAATTTTTAGAAAAATTTCTGTTGAGAGTAAGAGTTGAGTAAATGTTTTTTCAAATTTCTGTAGTCTTAACATAAAGGTGTTTTACATTTTTGAATCGAACGAATCGAATTCATAGCTTTGTCACACGGACCCGACGATTTGTTTATCTTCTTCATTGCTGGCGAGGGCAAGTTTGTATTTGTGTAATAGGGGCCCACTTAGCGAATGATTTTTACTGAAATGGCCTATATTGCCTATACGACACATTGAACATTAATTGTATGTCCATTTTATGCAGGGCCAGACAAACAGAGTATGAAAATAAACAGTGTTCAGTATTTTTTCGAAGTACGAAACGAAACAAAGCCGATATGAAGATAGCTAGCCTTTTTTACTTCGGAAACAAAAAAAAATGTATTTTGCTGGAATGGAAAGGAAACAGTACAAACTCATTGAAAACGATCCCTGCATAATAACATATTACAAACAATGTACAATCTAATATAATATATACCTTTTTATTCATTTATTATTTCCATTAATGGAATTTAGAAGAACAACTCTAAATTTAACAGCCATCGTCTCGTTTGAAAATATTACTTGTCGATTTGCTCGCAAACTACAGCTCTGTTACTCACATCCGAAGTAGAATTAGGCAATCGTATTGTTTGTGTACTTCTGGCATGTAAATGTTTATGGTTTTGTTTGGAGTACAAACCTATTGAAAATAAGTAAAAAAGCTGGGCCGAACTTTTTATACCCTCCACCATTTGGAAGAAACTGTTATATGGGGCTATACGAAGACGTGGATGTAGAAACAGTTCCGAACTTCAAATACGAAGTTTTAAACAAGTCCGGTGAATAATGTCGGAAAAATCATGAAAATAACGAATATCTGGGGGTACCGTTATATAGGGCTATACGATGTCGTAGACCAACATTTACAATTCTCTTGTAGAGAATAAAGTACTCACAAGGAACTGTTTGTGTGGACTTTTAAACAATTCCGTTGAAAAATGTGGCTATTATCATCAAAATACCGAATATCGGGAGATACAATTGTATGCGGGATATAGGATATCGCGGACATATATACATAAATCTCTTTCAGGGGATGAAGTACTTACAAGGAACTCTTTGTGTGGATTTTCAGACAATTCCATTGAAAAATGTGGCTAAAATCGTCAAAATACCGAATAATGGGGGGTACCGTTATATGGGGCTATACGATCATGGACCTATTTAGACAATTCTCTTTCAGGGGGTAAAGTATTCACAAAAAAATCCTTATGTGGAATTTCAGACAATTCCGTTGAAAAATGTGGCTAAAATCGTCAAAATACCGAAAATCGGAGGGTACCTTTATATGGGGCAATACGATATCGTGGAACTATATAGAAAATTCTATTTCAGGGAGTAAATTACTCACAAAGAACTCCTTGTGTGGAATTTCAGACAATTCCGTTAAAAAATATGGCTAAAATCATCAAAATATGGAATGTCGGGGGTACCGTTATATGGGGCAATATGATATCGTAGACCTATATAGTCAATTCTCTTTCAGGGGGTAAAGTGCTCACAAAAAAACTCCTTGTGTAGAATTTCAGACAATTCCCTTATTCCCTTGGTTGCGAGATAGTCATTCTTAATGCCAAATATTGTTTTTTTTTTTATAAAAATAACGTTTATCTATTGGTGGAGAAAAATGGTCATGTTTACCATGGTTTCAGAAATAGCCACCAATCCTTATATTTTCCCTTGGCTAGGAATATTCTTCCTAGAAGTTTAAAATAACTTCTATGAAAATACTTTTTTGTAGCCATGGGACGATCGTAAGGTCAATACAAGAGACAACCAAGGAATTAAAAAAAGGTAAAAATCCTGCAGACATTGTCATTTTTCTGCAATAAATAAACGATATTTTTGTAAAAACAATAATAATGGGATTAAGCCTGACTATATTTAAAGAACAAAATAACAGGTATATCCCAATCAAAAAAATGCCAACATTTTTCTGTTTTCTTTTTATATCTTCAGCCATACGGCTGCAGAGGCTATACATCATTTGATACGGCCACAATGTGCCTCATCGAAATAATTGTTTAGACCTTAGGTCTCTTTAGATGAAATCCGTTTCAGGACATTTGGAGCCGATCTAAGGGTGTCCATCTATCTGCCTGTCTAGCTGGTGGGCACAATTTCGAAGGAAGTATTCGATTTGGTCTAAACTTAGTAAATCGTATTATTATTATCAAACTTAGATCGAATTAGTAGATGGGCAAAATCGGTCAACTCCTTCTGGTACCTCCACACAAAAAGATCAACATCTTCTTAAAAAATAATTATTTAATAGGATAAGAAAGGATCATCCTATGTTCAAACTTTGCAAATCCCATTTCATCAAATACCTACCCCTCAAAGGGCCAACATTTTGATTATTTATAACTCTTATAAAATATGAGATAAGGGTCCGATTATCTTCAAATTACACAAATTCCATTATTTTTACTAACACAAGATCTTCTGTGAAAAAAACCGATTCCATTCTGACTTGACACATGAAGATAGTAGAAATCGGACCATTCCTTTTTGTACCACCCGCACAAAGGATCAAACTTTTGAATAACCAAAACCATCATAAAATCAAAAATATGCATCGGGTTCTCTTTAATGCTTTAATAATTATGCGCTTTAAATTAATTATTCGCAATATGTTTTAACAATTATTCGTTTATATTAAATGTTCGATTTTTATTAAAATTTTCCTAATTATTTTATTAGTGTTAGATCAAGTGGAACAAAAATTATCACATATCTCATTGGGAGTGAAAGAAGTAGACGGTATAATCCGTTCTGGAACGCTGTAATATTTATATCAGACTAATGTCAGATACGAAATGAACAATATTGGCGCATTCCTTCGGAACCACCCCTAGTTTGAATAATCATAGCCTAAGTAAAAAAATCCTTCTCTTTCGTTACCATACAATTTGCATGTTTGGTTCTGTACTTCATCGGTTCACGCTTAGGCGTATATATACTTCACCCTATTTTCTTTATTTTGCAGCCCAAATTTTCTAATGTATTTTCTAACATAGAATTTTTATGACGGTAATTCCTGATTGCGGCATTTTGGTGGTACCTAATATAACTTCCAACCAATTCTTGACATTTCGGGTTCTTATTAGTCCACTATTTGGTATAGCTTTCATTTTGTTTATTTAAAGATTTATGTCTCAATTTTCATACGAGTCAGCTGGTCCTATTTTTTAGGTCAGCCCAATTATATTTCCAGTATTTTTGAAGATTTTCAGATACCACAAGCCACAAATGATTAAGATTTTAAGACAATTGGTTATACCCAACAGCATCTTGTGTTGGAAGTGTTATATGTTTGATTAGGCAAACAATTACTTATCACCTCGAAATATTTGTTCACGATATAAGAAACTATATATGGATCTTCCTATCTTTCGGAGCTGGGTCGATCTAGCTATGTATGTCCGTCCGTCTGTTCATGTTCTGTTACTTTTTTATTTCACTTTTAATCTTTAGTATAAGCTTCTCTAACTAAATTATAAAAAAACGACCTCAGATTCTGAGAACCATCCTAGCTATCTCCCCTCTTTTTGCGTGTGAATTCCATTACATCCCTAATTCGTCGAATGCAATATACATATATTAATCTTTTTTGTTTTACTACCAACAAATGCGTTTCGGACTAATTATCCGGACCAAATGAGAGCCAAATGGGATTCCATGATGCTAATTAATGGACAAATGTGAGCCCGGCTGCTTACACCAATCAAAGTTGGCAGCTACACCAACTGGGAATGGAAAGTTAACGCCTAAAGAACATGGGTGTAATTAATAACATTTACAAGTAACATAGAGAGAAGGAGAGAGTGAGAGGAAAATGAGAACACAAAAACATAAAAACGAGAACAGAACAGAACACAAATGAAGAACACACGTTGAACAGATGGTCAATAATACAACGAATTAACAAACGAACGAAACGAAAACCGAAAACCAAACGCTTGAAATGAAACACAATTTAAGACAATTCACTTAACGTCAACTTTAACGCAAAACATTTCGATGTTCAAAAAATAGTTTTGTTTCCCCACCCAAAAAAGAATATAGGAATTGTAGACCAGCTGTATTCTAAACTACAAATGAAAAGTTGATACATTTTCTTGAAATGAAAAGAAGGTGTGATAAATAGAGAGCTTAAGAGCTTTTTACGGTGATGGAAAATAAAGAAATGTGTTCAGAAGATATGGTGTTGATGATGGATTTATTTATTTTTATTAATTGTTAAGTGGTTTTTAAATAATGATATGGTTATTGGTTGGTTATTTAAGTTGTAACACATACATATATAAATTTCAATAAAATGTTGTAAAATATTATTTAGAGAATAAAAAATTTTGATCATGGGATATTTTGCAAACAATTTCTAAGAGCAGTACACAAACTTGACATTTTGGTAGGCACCTGCCCAGCCCAGCAATAGGCTTCTATTCTGGCCCTAGTCCCACTTCCATTCTAAATATCATGAAGATCGGGTCATAATTGCGACCTGTAAAGTGATTACAAATTAACGTGGACAGACGGACACACATAGCTAGTTCGACTTAGCTCGGTGAGATAGGAAGATCCATATATACTTTCCTAAGTGGGAGACCAATCCTTTGATGTGTTACATAATTTTTGGCCCATTCAAATTCATAATGCCCCCAACATATAGTGTTGTAGGGTATAAAAAGTACTAAAAGGTCCAACATTGTTACTGAACGACTTATAAGAGGTAAGAAGTTAAAATTTCGCAGTAGGTTAATGCAAAAAGGCAACTGTAATTAAAAGGTACAGAACAAAATGCAAGGCGAATGCAAGAAAACTAGTAATATAAACGAAATTTTAAGTTCCACTCGTCCTTCAATGCCAGATAGGTGTTCGGACTTTGAATCCCACAAAAAGTCAAAATAACCTAATGAGTACGGCGAAGAAAAAGATAGAGAAAAAAACCTGTCATCCTCTAAATCCCAGTTCTCTGTCATCCGGCAACCTGATGAATCTGTATGGCCAAGACTTTTTTGTCAGTAAGACTATGAGACGAAGCGAAAAAAAGCTACTGCACAAGTAAATTCCACCGTACATGGAACGCGTATACGAAAGCCTCAATCAGTCACCAATATATCTGATCTTTGTTATTTACTTTTTAACTTGAAGCGCTGAAATTGTACGAAAATTAGACTTAGAGAGCGACCATAAACGTATATATCCTGACCTGATAAAAATGCTACCAAACCAAATTTGGACTTGTGAGATATATGCATAATTTTTATACCCTCAGCCATATGGCTAGAGAGGGTATATATCATTTGATACGGCCAAATTGTGCCTCATCGAAATAACAGTTTTAGATCCAAGTTTTCTTTGGACCAAATCCGTTTCAGGACATTTGGAGTCGATCTAGCGATGTCCGTCCGTCTGTCTGTAAGGCTGGCAGGTGTGCACAATAACTCTCGAAGAGAGTATCCGATTTGATCCAAAGTTGGTACATCGTAGTATTATTATCAAACTTAGATTGAGTTTGGAGATAGGAATGGGTCTCCTCTTTCTGGTACCTCCCTCACAAAAGTTCGAAATGTTCAAAAAATAATATTTTTCTGCACAGAAAGAGAAATGATTATCCGTTTTTGCTCCAACTTTGCAAATCCTAATATTTACATCAGTTTTAGGTCAGGTGCGAAAAAGTCAAAATTTTGTATAATTACAACTCCTTTAAAATTGGATGCAAGAGTCCAATTGTCTTCAAATTTCACAAATCCCAATATTTTTATTAACCCAAGGTCTGGTGTTAAGATGGAATATATCGGTCCTCTTCTTCTGCTACCTCCCCCATAAAGGTTCAACATTTGGAATATTCATGATGTTCATAAACTTAATATCCGATTCCATGCACCCTAGCCGCATCTCAATATTTCTACTAACACAAGATTGTTCTTCCTCACAAAGGGTCAATGTTTTCAAATTAACCATCCGGTTCTCTTCATATTTCGCACATCCCATTATTTCTTCTAATACAAGATCTGCTGTGAAGATCTGCGAACCTCTTTTGGTACCTTACCCAATTTCCAAATGGTGGAGGGCATAAAAAGTAATTTTTATACCCTCCACCATACTATAGAGGTTATATTCATTTTGTCATTCCGTTTGTAACTCATCGAAATAATGATCTTAGACCCAACAAAGTATATATATTCTTGATCAGCGTAAAATTCTAAGTCGATTTAGCGATGTCCGTCTGTCTACCTCGTCTGTCTGTTGTAATCACTCTATCTTTCGAATGAATTGAGATGGAAGGCTGCACACATGTTTATTTTGCCAGTAGGCAGGTTAAGTTCGTAAATGCACCATGTAGGTCCACGTTTTCGTATAGCCCCCATATAACGGTACCTCACTATATTCGGTATTTTAATGGTTTTAGCGACATTATTTACCGGAATTGTATCAAATTTCGCATTTGAAGTTCGTAATGGGTACTACAGCCTATGCCAGAAAATTGTCTATGCAGTTCCACGTCCACGGGGGCTATACGACCCCATATAACGGTACCCCCGATATTTAGTTTTTTGATGATTTTAGCGACATTAATTACCGGAATTATTTCAAATTTGAAGTTCGTAATGGATACTGCAGCCTATGCCAGAAATTTGTCTGTGCAGTTCCACGTTTTATAACCCCCATGGTATTTGGTATTTTGATGATTTTAGCTAAATTATAATTTTTTTTTTTCAAGTTTCGCATTTGAATATTGTAATAGCTTATGACAAAAGTTGTCTATGCAGGTCCACGTCATCATATAGACCCTCATATATGGCTACATTCGGTATTTTAATGATTTTAACAGAATTTTTAACGGATTTAATTTTTTTTGAAAATTGCCAAATTTGTACCAAAGTTCGGCTCGGCCGAACTTACAGCTTTTTTACTTGTCTAATCTGACCTAAGGCGGACCAAATATTAGAATCTACAAAGTTTGAACGCTTGCTTGCTTGCTTTTTATACAATCCACCATATTATGTAGGGTATATGAAGATTGTCATTCCGTTTGTAACACCTCGAAATTTAAATTTTAGACCCCACAAAGTATATATATTTGATCAGCATAAAATTCTACGTCGATTTAGCGATGTCCGTCCCTCTAAACGTCTTCCCGTCTGATGAAATCATAATAGAGTCCACATTATTTATTCTAGAGCTTCAAAATTTAGCATAAAAGTTTATGTTATATGCAGGTTGTTTGGTGTTGAAAATGATATGTTGGTTCTCGTTTAGGTATAGTCCCATAGCCCCCTCCAGATTTTCCGTTATTCGAGAATTTTTGCCACAATTTCCAACCAAATTAGCTGAAAAATTGACAATTGTTGGTTTCAGTAGGTCTGTTCTCTCCTTGCAAAAAATGTTCGATTCAGGTCTACTAATTGGTACCTGCCGATTTTCGGTATTTTGAATGTTTCTGCCACAATTTCCCACCAAATCATCTGAAACTTGACATTTAAGAGGTACCAAAAGGTGTGGGCCGATTTTCGTCTATCGCGAAATCGATGTAAGTTTGATAGGAATGGTACGATTTATCAAATTTTGATGAAATCGAATACTACCTTGGAAAGTTATACAGTCATTGGATGGAAAGACATATATGACCAGAACAACTCCAAATGTCTTACAACGAATTTCGTCTAAAGAGACTTAGTTTCTAACATCAATATTGCGAAGTGATGGTATGATGTATACTTTCCGTAGCCATATGGCTGAGGGTATAAAAATAAAAAAAATCCCAAGTTGGCCATCGGATGCCACAATCACAAATAAATCGACTACGAATTTGCAGATCGAAGTTCTGTAATCGAAAGTACTAAATACCAATATCCGGAAATTGAAATTAATTGATTGATCCAGTCTACAAAACAAAGACAAAAATACCAAATACCATTGCACGGAACTCTTAACCGATGCAAGACCGGAATCTCATCTCATTTTTCAGCAAGAGATGTTCTAAAGCGAATGAAAAGTTGTACGTTTTCTGCCCACCCAAGGTCACTGTTAAGGGACTAGTATGTAATGCCTGTATGTCGCATTGATTCTAAGATCAACCATGCCATAAATACTGTACCCTATAGATCGTACTTATTGACCAGCCCCAATCTCCTCAAATTACCTTCTAGAGCTATGAATTCTGCTTGCGCTGATCCTACATACATACTCACACGCCTGTTCCTTCTCCACATGACACTTAGCTCACTGGTCTACCATTTAATCAGAGATCTTCTGCCTCTCTCTCTCTCTCTTCTGAAGAGACCTTGTCTTTAAAGCGTTTCTTACCTTGACTTTCCTTGTTTTTTTCGTTTCATTTTCCTTGTTAGTATTTTCAGAACCACATAAACTAAAAATCGTTTATCACCTCTTTAATTGTTTGCAAAATATCCCAATTATTATAAAAATAAAATGCAACAACAATAACATATAAGCTTAAAAAGTTAATTTTTTTTCTACTCACTTGCCGAACTAGTCGAGACACGACCCATCGGTATATAACTCCGACTGTCGCTGTTGTCCTGCGAAAAATTGATGACATTCACATCGTAGGTGACCACAGAGGCCTGACGTTTGCGTACCGTTTGGATGCCTTCGTATCCGGTCAGTAGAGAGCTACGTTTGCGTCCACCACCACTAACAGAGGTAGTCGTGAGTGTTGTTTCCGGTTCGCTGTCAGGACGTTGATACAAAGGTGATGCTAAGTCTTTCTCCTCTCCTGTTAAAGAACCGCCACTGCCGCTCAGACCATTGCCACCATTGGCGGAACGCTGCATAGTGGTGGGCGACAGAGTGGAATCTAAAATAATTTCCGGTTTGGGTGAGAGATTCGTTGGTTGTACGTGACCGTGTGAGGGAGGTTCGAGTTGTTGTTGATGCTGCTGTTGTTGTTGCGTTGGGGTGGGGTTATTGGCCAGTGTGGTAAAAACATCCAAGGACACCGTTGAGGTATCGCTCACAATGAAATTGTGATTTGTTGCCGATGGCGAGCTGGTGAGTGCAGGAAATGCGGGTTGGGCCGTGGCGGTGGGTGGTGGCGATAGGAAATAGACATTTATGCTATTGCCGCCCAGACTGGGTGTGGCCGAGAAAGGTGAGTGGCCCAAGGTGTTGGGACTGCGGCTAACGGGTAAGTTGATGGCCGAATTGAAGTTCGGTGTTATGGGTGGTGACATCAGGAAGTTACTGCTGTTCTTGTTCACCAAAATCTGATCGCTAAGCGTGCTCATGCGCTGCTTTATCGACTCCTTGCGCAGTGTGTGACTGGCATCAGTGGATTTTTGGGATTTTTCCGGTGATTCTTTGTGAAACGATTGTTCGGTGGAGGGAAAACTCAGGGAACGAAAGAGCTCTACCAACTCAGAACTGGATTTTTGAGAACTCTGGGATTTTTCGGGTATGGTGGAATTGGTGTCCGACTTTAGGGCTTCCGGTATGGAGGCATCCATGAGCGATGAAGGGGATAAGGAGGGTGGTGGGGTGGAGGGTAGTAACGGCGAGTCGTTGGAGGTTATGTCTTTCAGAAAAGACAAGTCATCGGGTCCCACTTCTTGTACAGTGTTGGCGCCCAAATCGATCAGTTGGAAATGGGTGGCATGCCTGCTGGGTGGACTTTCATTCGTCCCCTCCTGCCTGGGTTGACTTTCGTCCATTTGCTCGGAATGCTCATTGAGAACATTGATATCGAGTAAAATATCGGGAGTATTATAACGACTTGTGGAATCAATGCTATCCCCAAACAGCCTGGGCAAATAGACATCCGAATCGGTGTCACTGTGTTGCCGGGAACGCATGTCATGTTTCCGTTCCTTAAGCAGCCCCCCATTGTAGCTGTGGGAAAGTTTACGATTGCGGGACCTCTTGAAAAGCTGAGAGCGACTTGGCTTGATTTCTTCCGAATTGGCCTGATGCCGTTTCTTTTCCAGGGAAAAACATTCGGTACTGGAACGTTTGGTCTTGGCCAGCAGAGATTTCAAGTTGAAGCCCTTGCTGCTTTCCTCTTTGGGTGTGGAGTTGACGGAACCCTCCTTGAGGGAATCCAAATGTTTGGCCGTCTTCTTGCCTTTCAAATCTCCATAGTTTTTGAGGAACTCTGAGTCACTGGCGGCAAAGGATTTCTTTGTAGCCGACGATCCCGCTTGGCTGCGCTGGCGATTTTCTCCATTTTTCATGCGTATAAAATCAGTCTCACTCAGGGCTGGATATTTATTGCCTGAAAAGGATTCTTTGTTTTGTTGTTGTTGTTGCTGCTGTTGGTTATCACTGGCTTTTTGCAGCTGACCCGCTTGCCGTTTATAATACAAATAATTATCTTCGATGAGACGTTTAAGCTCTTTATTATCCTCGGATAGAGGTATGAGGGTTGCTGGAGCGGCAGTTTGTTTTAATTTTATTAAATAATCGTTGCTCTCGCTGTCATCTGAGTTGAGGATACCACCACGACCAACGCCATACTCACCGCCACTGCTACCCCCACTACCACCAAATATGCTGTGGTATTGATCGGAATCACAACCAGAGTTTCTGTAGAAATTTGAATCCTGCCTCTTGAGCGAGTCCCGGCTGGAGGCTGAGGCATTTGTAAATTGCTTGCCGTTGCCATTCACCCTGGGTGTGGGTATGGCAATGCTCTGCTGCAATGGAGAATCATTTTTCATATCCTGCCAAATTTGCGGATTATAATTGATGAGATCCTTATTGGCGCAGGGCACTTGTAATTGCTGCTGCTGTTGTTGTTGCGTTGCATTATTGCCCGTGGTGGCGGCATAGTGCAACGCTATCATCGAGGGGGCGCTGTCGGTGTGGGTCACCTTTTCATAACGTTCCTGTTCGAGATCACGTAAATCAATACTACTACGGCTGAGACGTCTGGGTGGTGGTGAGGGCACCCGTAACTCATCGCATTCATCCTTGTCATCGTCATCGGTTTGTGGTATCTCCTGTAAGGATATGGAGGATGTGTGTGTTTGGGTGGATGAGAAAAAGATAGAGCAGAAAAAAAAAAACAGGTTTAATATGCTTATCAAGTTGCCAGGTCAAAAGGGAAATATTGATGGACTCTTTGACATTGTGGCTATCAAAACAAAAAAAAAAAAAAAAGGAGAAGGAGAAGGTTGTCCATATTTAATCTTCTCCTGGAAGCCACATCCTTAGATTATTATCAATTCTTTGAGAAAATATTACACTGTGGAACACAAAAATTGAAGAACCTATATGAATATAGAAGAGGAGTGAAATATTGAAACCTTCAGAAGAATTCTGTTTCAAGTTGCGACAAGTATTTCCTCCAAATTCGTAAAAATGACGGAGATATTCGACTATTTTTTCGAAAAAAAAGAGTCTAGTATTTAAAATAAGGGTGAGATGAAAAAACTGCAACCAATTTCAGACTGCTGTAATTTCTAAGCCACTCGTCCGACAGCTGTTTAAATTATTCCAGTGAAAGCTCATTCGGTACAAAGGCATTTTGGTGTGATTTTTCCAGAAAAAAAAGTTATTCGTGATGGAATTCAAGCGTGATAGTGTGATTTCTTTACATTTGGCTGGAAAATAACAAAGGGCTATCGTGAGAGCACTCCAGCATTTAAATGTGAATAAAATCTCGTACCATCGCTCGTTACCGTGATACTGGTAGCGTAGCCCGACGTCAAGGTGGTGGAAGTGGACGGAAGAAAACCGCAACATCAGCAGAAATGGTTCGAAAAGTAAAGAAGCGACTTGATCGAAACCCGCATCGCAGTGGCCGAAAAATGGTTCATGAGCTGAACATATCGCAATATTCCATTCGGCAAAAATTGAAAAATGAGCTCGGTATAAAGCCATTGAAATTCCGGAAAGTGCAGGAACTTATACCGGCACAGAAAGAAAATAGACTCAAAAGAGCTAAAGAGTTGCTTCACTTGGCCGAAAGTGGTGAACTGCCGAATTTGGTTTTCTCCGATGAGAAAACATTCGTTGTCCAGCAGTTTGTATAGAAACAAAATGATCCTGTTCACTTGCCAAAGAGGTCAGCTGAAAATGTCCACCTTCGGTTGGCCACCAGAACACAAGCGCCGGCCATGGTGATGGTGTGGGCCGCCATAACAGCCGATGGTGGCTCTCCGCTCGTATTAATCGACCGTGGCATAAGAATAAATGCCGAATATTATCGCGAAAATATTCTGGAGGGTGTATTAAAGCCTTGGGTACGCAAACATTTTGGCCGCAGTCTTTGGGCATTCCAAGAGGACTCAGCACCATCGCATTAAGCAGGCGTCACCCAAGAATGGTTAAAAAATGTAGGCCGCCATAATAGCCCATGGTCGCTCTCCGCTAGTATTAATTGACCATGGCTTCAGAATAAATGCCGAATATTATCGCGAAAATATTAAAGCCTTGGGCACGCAAAATTTTTGGCCGCAGACCTTGGACCTTCCAACTGGACTCAACACCATTGCACTCGGCACGCGCCACCCAAGAGTGGTTACAAAATGTAGGTCGCCATAACAGCCGATGGTCGTTCTCTGCTCGTATTAATCGAAGGTGGCATCAAAATAAATGCCGAATATTATCGCGAAAATATTCTGGAAGGTGTATTAAAGCCTTGGGCATGCAAACATTTTGGCCGCAGACCTTGGACATTCCAATAGGACTCAGCACCATCGAACTCAGCATGCGTCAAATGAGGTTTGTTGTTTCATTTCCAGCGCACAATGGCCACCAAAATCACCGGATACCAATCCGTTGGACTATTGTGTCTGCAGTATTTTGGGAAGTAAGGTTGGGTCTAAAAAATACCAAAGTGTCGATCACCTCAAGAAAGCGCTTCGCCGAGAATAGGCCAAAATACCGTAGAGAAACATTCGGACAGCGTGTGACGTGATGTGATGTTTCATTGCCCGTTAATTCGTGCCAAAGGTGACCAATTCGAACAAATCTAAACTTATTCTAAAATTTGAAGCTATTTCCATTTTTTAAAATTTTTTAAAAATTTTAAAATTATGGCGTTTGACTTTGTTGCAGTTTTTTTATCTCACCCTTGATTTAAACATTTTCGACATTATATTTTATTTAATTATTTTTTATTTATTTTATTTATTTTTTTTATTTTTTTGAAAAATCTTCGAATTTAGAAAAAATCTAAGGTTGCTCTGAATTTTCTCTTCCACAGTGTTAAATTCAAAATTAACCGTTTGGCTACTTACCTCAAAATGGCTTATTGCACTATGAGTCTCTTCTCTCGTTAGGGTTAATTCACATTCACTGGGATGCAAATAGTTCAGATTGGTGGGCTGCTGGGTGTGGCCCATGTGTACGCTATTCAGCAAAATATTGGAACTGGTGCGGCTTAAGGCCTTCCGTTGTCTGACCGCTTCTCTGTAAAACAAAAACACAACCACAATCAAAACAATTTCATAGTTTCGTATTTTTTTTGTCATTCATTCTACTACTCACTTGTATATTCGAAAATACATAACCAACATCACAATGCCCGGTATCCAAAAACTAACCGAACTGGAGATGAGGGCATACGCCTTGTTCACCACAAAGGAACATTGATCGGGATTTTGGGAAATTTCCTCCAAATGTTCGGCCGTTGTGTACCAACCCAAAAATATTGGCGTAAACGAGATGAGGGCAGGCAGTATCCAAACATTGGCCAGCATAAAACAAACCGTTTTGTGTGTCATATTCAGTGGATATTCCAGTGGCCGGACAATGGCATAGTATCTGTGTCGATGAGAGGTTGAGAGAGATAAAGAGAGTGATTGAGAGAGGGAGTAGCATACATGAACAGATGAACTGGATATTAAAAACGTCATTTGGTGTCACACAAAATGTTGTTGTGGTTTTAAAGTTGATATCGGTTTTATAGTTGTTGTTGTACATTAAATGATACGGTGGGTAAAATGTACCCTTGTTAAAATTTAAAATGGAAAATTTTCAAATTATTAAAAAAAATAAATTTTTTTGCATAAATTCTCAAAAAATGTAACGAGTTTCTTATAGGGTGTCTATATAGGTGAACTGAAGGCCAGGGAGTCTATATAGGCGAGCTGAAGGCCAGGGAGTCTATATAGGTGAACTGAAGGCCAGGGAGTCTATATAGGCGAGCTGAAGGCCAGGGAGTCTATATAGGCGTGCTGAAGGCCAGGGAGTCTATATAGGCGAGCTGAAGGCCAGGGAGTCTATATAGGCGAGCTGAAGGCCAGGGAGTCTATATAGGCGAGCTGAAGGCCAGTGAGTCTATATAGGCGAGCTGAAGGCCAGTGAGTCTATATAGGCGAGCTGAAGGCCAGTGAGTCTATATAGGCGAGCTGAAGGCCAGTGAGTCTATATAGGCGAGCTGAAGGCCAGTGAGTCTATATAGGCGAGCTGAAGGCCAGGGAGTCTATAAAGACGAGCTGAAAGCCAGGGAGTCTATAAAGGCGAGCTGAAAACCAGGTAGTCTGTAAAGGCGAGCTGAAGCGAAGATCTTTTGCTAAAGAATATTTGATAATTTTCTCTTTCGGTACACCTTACAATTTTGGATTCCTTGTAACAGGTCGTCTTAGGCCTTTTTAGTACTCAAGTGCAACATTCGTTCAGTTTGACAAAATGTCAAAACTTCACACTTTGCGCAAATTATTGAGACTTTCAAGATTGTATATATTATTCAAATTTTTTACTTTTTCGGGAAGAATTTCAGAATTTCAGCTCTATTCCTTCATCCAATACCAAAGTTAGTAACATTTAGTACGCATATCCAAAACAATCTACAACCCTCCATCCATGACACAAACAGTGATCCACAATTACTACCATTTAGAACTTTTCGAACAATTATAGTATGCACTTCCAAAACCACCACCAGATCTCAACACAAGATATCAACAGAAACCTCAATATCAAACTTCGGGGATTCAGCTCTATTAATTCGCCCAATACCAATCCCAATTTCGTACCACTTAGTACTTTTCGAACAATTACAGTACACATTTCCAAAACCACCACCAAATCTTAACCATAGACACCAAAAGTGTAGTTAACATAAAATTTCAGAATTCCAGCCCTATCGGTTCACACAAATTCGAATTGTACCAAATTTAGTACACATAAGTACGAATGTACAAAAATGCTTTCGTACCTCAATCATACAATTTCAAAGAAATCTCACTAGCCAATTTCAGAATTCCAGCCCTATCGGTTCACCCAAATCCAAATAGTACGAAATTTAGTACCATTTAGTAAACATAAGTACGAATTTCCAAAGCTTCCTACATACCCCAATTCTACACTCCCACAGTAATCCAATTGTACCAAATCTAGTACGTAAAAGTACATATTTCCAAAACTACCTCTATATCTCTATTCTGCAATCCAGCATTAATCTTATTTCCAAATTTCAGTGTACCAGATCTATTGGTTCGCTCAAATCTTAATTTTAACGAATTTAGTTCCTATTACTACACAATAGTATAAATTTCCATATATACCTACATTATACAATCTTATAGGAATCTTATTCCCAAAATTCAGGATTTCAACTCTACCGGTTCTCAAAAGATTTAAATTGTAACGAATTTAGTACCGTTTAGTACACATAAGTACGAATTACCAAAACTACCTACGTACCTCAGACATACAATGCAATTGCAATCTTATTTGCAAATTTCAGCATTTCAGCCTTATCTGTTTACCAAATCAACATCGTTCCAAATTTAGTACTATTTAGTACAAATAAGTACGAATTTCCTAAACTACATCCATATCCCTACCTATTAATCTTAATTCCAAATGTCAGGATTACTGTTCCATTGATTCACTCAAATCAAAATTGTACCAAATTGAGTACCATTTAGTACAGATAAGTACGAATCTTTTATTCCCAAATTCAGTATTCCAACTCTATCTACATTCCTCAGCTCTAGAATACAATATTACTTTTATTTCCTAATTTCAGTATTCCAGTTCTATCGGTTCACTCAAATCGAAATTTTACCAGATTTATTACCATTTAGAAATTTTTGTGCACAAATACAAATTTCGTAACCTATGTCCATATTCCAAATCCTACACTCTGTCAGTAATATTAATTTTAAATTTCAGGATTCCAGCTCCATCCGTTCCTCCAAATTCGAGTTGTATAAAAAAAAATTACCAATTAGTACTTTTCGTAGGCATGAGTAGACACTTTGAAAACTACCTCCTTACTTCAACCCTACTCCTTCTTTTCTTCTTTTCCTTTGAAAATTTCTTTAACAACACAACATCTTTTAGTATCTTTTAGTTCTAGTACATATTTCCAAAAAATCCATCCTTATCTGACAACTTTGCACCAAGGGTGACCATCGCCCAAATTTTAAAGATTCTAGCTTTAGGCGTTTTGTCTGGTCGTTGATGAATCATTAAGTCAGTCAGTCAATTATTTAACTCTATTATTAATATTCTTTATTTATATTACCCTCAGCCATATGGCTAGAGAGGGTATCATGTGATACGGAGTCGATCTAGGGACGCCCATCCGTCCGTCTGCCTATTTTACTGTGGCTGGCTGGTGCGCACGATAACTTTCAAAGGAAGTATCCGATTTGACCCAAACTTGGTAGATCGTAATATTATTATGAAATTTAGATCGATTTTGGAAATGGGCAATATCGGTCCACGCCTTCTGCTAACTCCACCAAAAAAGTTAGAAATTTTCAAAAAAAAGAAATATATTTTACTGCACAGAAATATAAAGGGTAATCCGATATTGCTTCAACTTTGCAAATCCTAACATTTGCATCATTGCCAGGTCCGAATAGACAATATCGATCCACTCCATCAAGTACCTCTCCCACAAAGGGTAATAATTTCAAATCATTATAACTCTAATAAAAAGTGAAAGTCCCGTTGTCTTCATATTACACACATCACAATATTTTTATGAACCCAAAGCCTGGCGTGATAATGGGATTTATCCACTCCTTCTGGTACCTTCCCCAAAGGTTCAAAATGTTGAATATCCATGAAGCTCATAAACGTGAAATTAACATCTGATTTCATTCAGACTTGACAAATCTCAATATTTCTATTAACATAAGACCTGTAAAAAAATATGATAGAGATTGGAATATTTCTTCTGGTACCTCTCCCACAAAGGGTCAAAGTTTTGAATAACCAAAACAATCATAAAATCCAAAATAAGCTACCGGTTCTCTTCATATTTCACACAACCAATTATTTCGACTAATAAAATATCTGCTGTAAAGATGGGATTTATCGGTCCATTCCTTCTGGTACCTCCCCCACAAAAGGTCAAAATGTGAAATATTCGTGAAGCTCAAAACGCGATATTAACATCCAATTCCACTCGACTTGACAAATCTCAATATTTCCATCAACATAAGATCTGTTGCAAAGATGATAGAGATTGGACTATTTCTTCTGGTACCTCCTCGACATAGGGATAACGATTTTGAAAAACAAAACGCCAAAAGAAAGCAGAATAAGCATTCAATTCTCTTCAAATATTACATACACAAACATTTTTGTTAACAAAAGATCTGTTGTATAGATGATATATCGGATCGGATATAGATGATATATCGTTTACACCCATCGGATCGGAGGAAATTTGATGTAGACTAAATTCGATTGGTTATGCCAAAATTCAGGTCATTTGGACTGATATTGGTCATTTGGTGCACAATTAACCCGAAATCGATTGAAAATATGTATGGGAGCTATATCTAAATTTGAACCGATTCTCATCAATATCGATAGGGTTCGTCCTTGGGCCAAACAAATATTGTTTTGAAAATTCCATCTCAATTGAATAATAAATGCGACGTGCATTTTGTTCACAAAAATACATGGAAAGACGAACTGACATGACGACTCAGAAAGGGATTTTATGAAGATCCTAAACAGTAATTATGGGTTAATCCCGCTTCCTTCTCGATGTTATAAAAACACAAGTAAAAAAGATGTAGGTTCAGCCGGGCCGAACTTTGAATACTATCCACCATTTGGAACAAATTTGGCAATTCTCAAAAAATCCGTTAAAATCTTAAAAATACCGAATGTAGCTATTATATTAGGGTCTATACGACGACATGAATACCGAATATCGGAAGGTACCGTTATATGGGGGCTTTACGAAGACGTGGACCTGCACAGACAATTTTCTGTCTTAGGGTGTCGTATCCATTACGAACTTCAAATACCAAATTTGAAAAAATTGCGGTGAATAATGTCGCTAAAATCATTAAAATACCGAATATCGGGAGGTACCGTTATATGGGGGATATACCAAAACGTGGACCTACATGGCCCATTTTCAATACCAATAGTCCTGCTGACATAACATACATTTGAGGAAAATTTTATCAATCTACTTCAATTCGTTCCACAGATGGACATACGGATAGACGGACGGACATCGCTATATCGACATAGAATTTTATGCTGATCAAGAATATATATACTTTGTGGGTTCTAAAATGTGTATTTCGAGGTGTTAAAAACGGAATGACAAACTTAATATACCCTCCATACTATGGTGGAGGGTATAAAAATACATGGACAGACGAACTGACATGACGACTCAGAAAGGGATTCTATGAACATCTTCAAAAGTAACTGTGTTTCTATCTCGCTTCCTTCTCCATGTTACAAACATATGCACAAGGACTTAATACCCTTACCACGATGTGGTGTGGGGTATAATTAGAACATGTTTGGAAATATTGCCAATGTAACAGATT